TTCAAATTAGACAGTAAGTAATTGGGTCTATTCTTCTCTCGGTTGTTAATTTCACTCGTGCAAAATTTTGATTATAACATTATGTAATAGAAGTGTTTGTAAGTTTATAATCGAATTTGTAACACCCAAAATAATTTTTTCTATTTTATTTTTTTTATTTAATTTAATTTAAATTAATTTTTGTGAATATAAAAATATTAATAATGATAAAATTGGGTAAAAATATTATTTTGATTTAATTGAAATTAATTTTGGAAAAAAAGGGGTGAAAATTTGGATTCTGGAGGTATTCTTGAAAAGAAATTCGGAAACTGGGGGTCAAAACGCAATTTAGAAAAATTGTGCCCCGTCAGCGGCCCAGTCAGCAGCCTTGGCCAACCAGGACCTGCCGCGTGGCAAGACCACGTCGACCCGGGAACGGGCCACGTGGGCGATCCGCGTGCGCGCGATCGAACGGCCCAGATGCGTCCCCGCGAGCACGGACGGCCCAGATCAAGCGTGCGCACGAACGGCGCAGATTCAATCAAGTACGGACAGCCCAGATTTAATCCAAATTAAATCGCGATCGAACGGCTCAGATTAAATCAAGATGGACGGTTGTGATTAAAAGGCAAATGGTATAAATAAACCCCCCACACCTAACCACAAAAACCCTAGCCGCTAGCCCTCGCCGGAGAAGACGAACCAAACGCCGGAGGAGCCGGCCGCCGCCACCCGCCGCCGCACCGGGGAGTTTTCCAACCGCCGATCGAGGTAAATTTCATACCCCGGCTCGTTTTTCAATGGTGAGTTCTCCTGTGGCCAAATCGGAGCCAAACTCCCGGCCAAACGGCCGAAAAACACGACCGAAACCCAGCGGCGCTGCCGCGTCCCTCCTCAATTTTTGCCTCCGATGAGGCCCTTTCCGGCCTTTGTTTGATACAATTTTTATATCACCGTGATCACCATTCTTTTCTCTACAGGTTGATCGGAGCCAAATCACCAAAACACGAACCACACCGGAGAGCCGCCGCACCCGAGAGCACCGCCGCCGGTAAGCTTCGGTTTTTCGTAATTTTTTGGCCCCCCGAGGGCCCTAGGGTTGTTTTATCGCATGGACCGATGTAAGTGTGGCCGAATTCGGCCGAAAACGGCCAACCCAAGGTGAATCGCCGTCGCCGGAGCACGGCGGAGCCGCCGTGCTAGAATTGCGATATTGGCCGAAAGGGACCCTAGGTCTGATTCTGAGATTTTTGGGACACGTGCAGGTACGGGTAGCGTGTTTCAGTTTTTCGAAAAAAAATTCAGGAAATTTAGGGATAATACGCAGGCACTCGGAAAAGCCTATTTCGGGTCCCGAAAACAAGTAAGGATTTCTCACCCTATTTCCTATCACGGTATTAAAGTGCAATAAATGATAAAATGGTATTTCATGAATCAATAGCTGTGTGAAATTGTTTAAGGTTGCTAATGGAGCCCGAGTCTAGTGTATTTGTCGGTCAGTTGTTGTTTGTTCTATTTTACAATTTTAAATGCAGTATGATGTCTGATGTTTTTATTTCATAGTTTCGTGTGCATGTATCACTGTTTCATTGATTATGGATTGAATGACTGAGAACCCGATGTTGTGTGTTGTCTTGTTGGCATGAACTACTGGTTTGCATGTTTGTGTGTGACTAAAGAAAAAAGGATAAAAGGTTATGTGAATTAGCAAATGGATAATGTGGACAGCCTGACTAGGTATCCTGGGAGATGGTGGATGGACCGGGTCCGTAGGGAACCCTACCGGGAACGTGGTCTCTCATACCGGACGGGGTATGAAGACTTTATGTGTTTTGGCGCCCATACCGGACGGGGTATGGGGACGGCCCGTTTCACCCTCATACCGGACGGGGTATTGAGGTTCATGGTTTTGGCGCCCATACCGGACGGGGTATGGGGACGACCCTGGAATCGGGTTATAAATGTTAAGGGTTCACAGGTAGCAGGACCCCTATGGATCCCCATGGATACTAGTAGGCTAGTAAAGAGGAATTATGTTGTTTAAAGATTGAAATGCAAACGCGTGATAAATGTTGTATTATAAAGTCTATGTGATAACGTGATGATGATAATGTGTTGCTTGTGTATTGTTTTATGGATCTCACCCAGGTAAATGGAAAGTAAACGTTTTTATGAACAAATGGGTTTATTACAAATTATGTTATATTGGTCGTTTTTGTTTTCTACCCACCCTTACTCCTGTGGCAGTGAGGTAGAGTGATGTCTTTACTGGGCTAGTGTAGCTCACTCCTTACTTAACCATTTTAGATTAGGAAGACGTGGTTCTCGAGCCCGTTCCATAGGAAGACGGCGAAGGGGACGCCTAAAGATCTCATAATTATAATTGTAGTTCTTACTTTCGAGCATTTATTTTAATTGGTTTATTCCCTCATTTGTTGAACACGTTTTGGTATTGCGTAGGGGATGTTAATTGCAATGTTTAATACGCTTCCGCAAATTCAGATTATTTATCTATATATATGCATTTCCAATATTAAATTTTTCCAGGGCTGTTACAGAATTCAATTAGATAGAACCAAATAAGATAAAAAATTTTCTGATTTTAAATCGAAGTTTAGAAATTGAATTGATTATTGGTATTTGTTATTGTGGAAAATCCATTACCAAGTTAACCAACTAAAGGTTTTTGAGAATTTAATGGTAATAATATTGTAAAACTCTTTTTATTCCGATAGATACTTTAATGTTGTTGTCCACCATATTAAATAATAATAAAAATTTCAAAATTGACATGTGATTTTGATAGTTTTTGAAACAAGATCTATTGCCTCCACCACATCAAAATGAGTGAAACGATTTTTATGTGAGATCTCTATAAACTCAATATTTGGTCTTTTAATATGGTAATTCGTACTCAAAATGAATTAATTTAGATTTAATAATGTTGAGATTGGATTATAACATAGTAACCTTCATATAGAAATGTTTATGTAGCAATTCATATTACAAACATACTATTTTCTAAAAAAATAAATTAAAAAGATATAACAAAAAATGAATAAATTTAAATTTAACTATGTTGATACTAACCAATATGGAAGCTATTCAAATTAAAAATACACTTTAATTTCGAAGGAAAAAAATGATAGAAATAATTTTTAATTTTTTTTAAACTGATATGATTGTCACGTTATGTATTATATTATTATTTATTTATCTTAATTTTAACACATCATTTACTACATATTTAAAATTAAATAGTTCATAAAAGACTGAGGATACATTAGACTTTAAGTAAAAAAATTAAATAGGTAAAAAAATTGATGAGGTAATTTGACCAAACTTTTTTGAGATGAGAATTATAGGAACACCCCGTTGACCTCACTAGATGTGCTTCTATGTATTCCTTTGTATTTATATTTTTATATATTTACAATGTACTTAATATTTAATATTTTAAAAGGTTCTTTTTCGATTTATAGTTTAATATTTAACTTATTTAAAATTATTTTGTAAATAATTTATATAATTTAACAAAATTTACATATTATGTATGTGAATGTGGTGATAAGGCGGATGGAAAGAGAAAGGTTTCATCTACCGTTGGAGATTAAAGTAGGTTTTTCACTTACTTAAATATGATGAGAGAAGAATGAGTCAGATTCTATTTGTTATAAAGTTTTGAATCTTAATTTTTAATATTAAAATCTGCTTTAAAATCAATCGAACATGACATATTTTTATACCCACTATCTTATATATATATATATGTATTTAAAATACTCAGCTCTAAACTTGATCTATCTTGACTTAAAAAGAAAACAAAAGTAGAATTATTATTTATTATGTAAAAATATACTTTATAATTATTTTACATATATATTACCATCTAAATTCAGTCTGACCTAGCCAGTTCCAAAAGAGTTCTAAACCCACCCGCAGGTTACCATAGCTAAACAACAAGAAAGAGATTCATGAGGGCATTTTGGTCATTTAACGGTGACTACTCTGACAGGAGACAAGAGGCACAGAGCCCATCAAAAGCATAGAAAGCGAGACCTTCGCCGATTTCCACTGTGCTCCATCATCATGTGATTTCTCTGCAAATCCCTCTCTCTCTCCTCTGCAATTTTTCTTTCTTTTGTATTGATAATATCAGTTGTGTCCGTTTGTTTTTGTAGATATTCAAAATTTAAATACCAAAACTTCAGAAAAAAAAAACAAGAAAAGATAATAGGAGAGAACCCAAAACCGAAGATTTGTTTTCTAATGGTTGAAAAGTTAAATTAATTTTCTTTTGAGTCCCAAAAAACTAAGTACCACCAACTCCCTATCTGCAATCACTATACCTTACTCTCTACTTCATTACAAAACGCAAAAGCTCCATCTCAACCAAACTGAAAAGAAACGTTTCATCTTCCTAAACCTCTCGTGTGATTCACTCCTCAGCTTTCTTGGTTTTTTTTTTAATTCAAATTTTTTTTTTAAAACCATTAAATGACAGACCCACCACCATGTCCAGGAGGGGATTCTATGTGAAGATGAGATTACTACACAAGGGGGGAAGACACCTGCAGCAGCAGGAGAAGAACCTCTGTTTCAAATACTACAAATGGGTCCTCTGGTTTTCTCTCACTTTTTATTTTCTTACCTCGTATTTCATCACCCACAAACCAATCCCTCCATCTAAAACTCATCTCCTCTCTAATCCCAAATCTTCTCTTGCCTCGAGAGCGCTTATTGAGTCCACCGCCATCCAATCCGGTAATACCCACACAATCGATCAAGGTAGCCATTGGTCTTTGCTTTTTCTTTTGCATGCCTACCATTTGTTTTCTCCCTTAATTTCTTAAGAAATTCCCTAATGTTTTGTTTTTCTTTTTCTTTTTTTTTTTCGCACACAGGATTGTTCAACAATCTGAAGATATTCGTATACGAATTACCATCCAAATATAACACGGATTGGCTATCCAACGAGCGGTGCAGCACCCATCTGTTTGCCTCAGAGGTCGCCATACATAAGGCTTTGTTGACCAGCCATGTACGTACGTTGGACCCGTACGAGGCGGACTTCTTCTTCGTTCCCGTCTACGTCTCCTGCAATTTCAGCACCATTAATGGGTTCCCTGCTATCGGCCACGCTCGTTCTCTCATATCTTCTTCTATCCAACTAATCTCTTCACAATACGTGTTTTGGAACCGAACCAGAGGATACGACCATGTCTTCGTTGCTTCCCATGATTATGGCGCCTGCTTTCACGCCATGGTTAGGCAGTTTTTGCTCCCCCAGAAAAGCGAAAGCTACCCATTTAGATTCGTAGATTGAACATGGTTGTTGTCTTGTCTTGTGTTTTGACACGGGTGTTTTTGATTTTGGTTTGTTTTGAAGGAGGACAGAGCGATTGCAGATGGTATACCGGAGTTTATGAAGAACTCCATTGTGTTGCAGACTTTTGGGGTGAAATACAAGCACCCATGTCAAGACGTTGAGAATGTGGTCATACCTCCTTACATCCCGACCGAAAGCATACGGAGAACCCTAGAGAGAGCTCCGATCACGGGCCGGCGAGATATATTGGTCTTCTTCAGGGGAAAAATGGAGGTTAATCCTAAGAACGTTAGTGGACGATACTATAGCAAGTAATCACATGATTGATTATTCAATTCCTTCTTAAATCGTTTAAGTGTTTGCTAATTGCTTCCCTTTTCTTTCTTCTGATTCCTTCTTGTGTTTGAACTTCTGAAGGCGAGTAAGGACGGTGATATGGAAGAAGTTCAGCGGCGACCGAAGGTTTTACCTTCAGCGGCATCGGTTCGCCGGTTACCAGTCAGAAATCGTACGTTCTGTCTTTTGCTTGTGCCCTCTTGGGTGGGCCCCTTGGAGTCCCAGGCTGGTTGAATCGGTGGCTTTCGGATGCGTGCCGGTAATCATAGCGGATGACATCCAGCTGCCATTCCCATGGGCTGTGAAGTGGCCGGAGATTTCCCTAACGGTGGCCGAGAAAGACGCGAATAAGCTAGGGAAGATCCTGGAACACGTTGCGGCGACCAATTTGTCGACGATCCAGAGAAACCTGTGGGACCCGATAACACGAGGGGCCCTACTGTTCAACGTCGAAGTGAAAGAAGGGGATGCCACGTGGCAGATTCTTGATGCGCTTTCAAAGAAGTTGGAAAGGTCGTACAGGAGGTCAAGGGTTTCCAGCAAATAGATGAATGACACGTGGATCAGTGAAGTTGGCGGGGTCTTGGGTTCCAGCTAAGGAACATGCGCTTCCATGAGGAATAATGGAGGACAGCTGGGTTAGGCTGAGATGGAATTGTTTTTTGGTAAGTAGAGGTGTGGTGGGCCCCATTGAAGCTAAAGCTACATAAAAAAAAGAGTTTTTTGTTGGGGGATTTTATTCCAATTTCGACGTGTATATATATATATATATATATATCCATTGGTGTGGGCGGCGGATAAAACTCTTGTATTCTGTAAATTTGTACACGTGGAAAATAATTTTTTTAAAAATATAAAATAAAAATAGAATGATGTTCAAGGAAAAAAGGAGGATGCTTAGCGGAGAATCCAAATCTTTATGGTGTATAAAGTAGAAAAAATTTCTGGTTAGGGAAGGGTGGTCGCATTAATTACAATATTATGACAAATTCTGTTTGTGATGCATTTACCAGTTGGTTTTTTTTGGCTTTCAATATTAATTATGGTATTAGTCTTGCGTATGAAGTTTCATGTTCGAGTAAATGTGGGAGATCGAAAACAATATTTCCAATTGTTATTTTTTAGAAAAGGAAAAGAATTTAAAAGAAGAGTTGGGAGTTACAGAGGCATATGCATAAGTAAATGACAGCTAAGGTTGCATGGGAGAGGTGATGGAATGGATGGGACAAGCATTTTGAAAATGGGAGTCTTTAATTTTGTGTCAGCAAGCCACTTGGCCCCTCTTGTTTCTCAAATTTAATTCACCGTCTTTACTACTAGCATAACTCACATGGGCTACGCTGGACACTGTTTATTACTTCCATTCTAACATTTCAGGCATCTTATCTCCACATCATTATTTTTAGCTAGAGAGATAAAGGAAAGTTTATAAAACTAGAAGAGAGGGCTAATCAAGTTGGTCCGAGCAATATTACAACTATTAAGGTATAGTAATTGGTTGAGCTTCTCGAGTAGGTTGAGAAAGTCTCATGGTGTACTTGGGCAAATGATGCCTCCAGTTAGTGAGTCAATTAACACATCAATTCCTCTTTTCATGTGAGATATTTTCATCTCCTATTCGTAAATCATAATACATCTAAACTCACTATTCAAATATTTATAAAGACTGGGAAGATTTTCATTTCCCTTAGAGCACCTGGGCAAGGGACAAAGGAGTCATCCTCAAGAATGATCTTCCTAATCTCTTAGTCCCAATCGATCTTTGAACCTTCTAAAGGATAATAAAGAGAAAAAGAGTGAAGAAAATTCTTGTATTTTTATTAACAGATACTACTTTCTACAATAATTATTGACTCTGTATATATAGGCAAGTAAAATAAAATTATTTTAGAAAAAACAACGAAACTGTTACAAGGATAAAAGAAATGATCTTCAAAAAATAAATTTTAAGATATCAGCAGAATAATAATCTTACATGATTTAGTCAACTGAATAATCATTTTTTACTATAATAATCTTCCATAACCTTTGACAAAGGTTTATTAAAGATGTTAGCAACTTGCTTATCAGTGGAAACATGTTGGATGACCAAAAGTATAAGTGCAACGCGTTCACGCACAAAATGATAGTCTAACTCGACATGTTTACTTCGAGCATGAAACACAGGATTAACTGTCATGTACAGAGCACTAAGATTGTCACAATAGAGTGTAGGTGGAGAAGAGTGTGTAATACGAAGATCCTTATGAATGTAAGTCAATGATCAAGGATGATCTTTCATTATTATTATTATTTTGATTTTTATCCATTTCTATTTTTAGCTAAAGTTTAAAAATAGATTAATGGTTTTAATTAATTTACAAAAAAAAAATGAGATGATATTAATTTGTATGTTATTTTTAAGATTTACTTAATTTTATATATGTACTATTTTTGTAAGCTCCTCAAAGTTATATAAGAGAATTTCATTGTAAGAATTAAAGTAGAGAAAAATGAAAGTTATCTTATCTTCTTCAAAAATAAACATTCTCTCAATTTTCTACTAATATCTATTTGAGAGTTGTCAAGTTCTATCACTCCTATACAGATCATATTGGTATCAGAGCATTTTGATCATATCTGTATATGGTTAAGACTAGAAGTGGTGATAAGGAGATAGGAGAACCATTTTCTATTCTCAACATTCACCGAAGACCCTCAAGAAGAACTGCAAGTATTGAGTCTGTTATAATGGCACAAGACTTTATTATAGTCGACTTGGCCAAGCAAATTGTTAATATGTCTGAACAGATGCCAAAAGTTATGTCTTGGATAGAGGATTAGTCTCATGATTATTCTGATAAAAACTCAACGGAGACAATTAAAAGTCGAAGTCCAAGTTTAAGGAAAAAGAATTAAAAACCAGCCTCCTCAAGAAGAGGAAGAAGAAAGGCTGCCAAGACCTTTTAAGACTTACTTTACCTTATATAGGTATAATAGTGAAGATAAAGTCTCACTGGCAAGACTAAAAATTGACAAGTCATGTCTTAACATGTTGGAATTCATATGTATCCACGAGACTGAAGAAATTACTTGGGATAATTTTTTGGATTTCATTCGAAAAAAATTTTATCCAATGGGTTACCAAGAAGATCAGTGGAGGTGATGGCATAACTTACACCGAAAGCAAGACCAATCAGTGTAAGAATATACCACTGAGTTTAAACATCTACCTATAATGTTAGGAGTTTCGATGGATTCACCTGAGACATTCACGAAATATACCTCAGTACTATTGCCACGTAGAAGTACTGAGATCTCACTTTATAAACCAAACGATGTGTCTAATACAAGTACGATAGCTATGATCATTGAAAAGAAAAATAGTCGTAACGAGCAATCTTTTAAAGGCTCAACATAAAGCTCCTCAAAATTAAAAAAGTTTAAGAATGCAACTTTAGCCTTATCATCTTCATCTTCAACGTCAAGCACTAGAAGGTACTGTGACCACTATAAGATTGATAGTCATATAAAGGAGAAATATTGGAAGTTGCACCTAGAGTTGTACCCAAAGAAAAGACTAAAAGGTAAAACTGCAGCAACAACAACCTGTGATAATTAACCTATAGTAGTTGATCAGGTTCAAAGAGTAGATCCAAAATTATCTCTAATGGCAATGCCAAAAGTTGTAGACTCAGAATCACTTACCAAACAAAACAAACGAAAAGAGTTGTTTGTCCTAAAAATTCAAGTAAAGCAAGAAGTGATTATTGCCGTGGTGGATAATGGAAGCCAAAGAAATCTCATCTATGAGCAGTTGGTGCAAAAGTTAGAATTTTCCACAATCCCTCACCCTAAGCCATACCCGTTAGGTTGGATTCATAAAGATGTAGGGCTTCATGTTAATCGACAATATACTTTTTGATTTTCTGTTATCAGTCAATTCATTGATGAAGTGACCTGTGATGTAGTCCCCCTTGATATATGCCAAGCAATACTTGAAAGTCCTTATTTCTGGGACCGAGATGCCATTTATTATTGGCAAGCTTAAAGAATTCAATTTACTAAAGAAGGAAGAAAATATCTCTTTTCTGGTAAAATGATAAAACAAATTGTTGATTTGATCATTGTATGTTAAGCCAAATAGATCATTAACTCATCAAAGAAGTTTGTATACCTATTTATATGATCTTCTAAAGATGAGGAACGCACGGAGACAATCAACATTGTTAATCCAACTCATATGGCTATCACTAACCTATCTCAAAATAAAGAGAAAAATGAGATAACAAAGTTGTGTAGAGAATTTCTTGACCTACTTTATAAAGAATGAGGTTTACCACCAATGCGAGATGTGGAACATGATATTCAACTCCTCTTAGATTTATCGCTTTCGAATTTAAGTATGTATCGCTATTCTGTAGTAAAGAATGAAGAAATAAAGAAACAGGTGTCTGATTTGCCTGAAAGTGGTGTTATAAAACGAGGCAATTCACCTTGCGGATCACCAGTGGTTCTTGTTCCTAAAAAGGATGGTGGTTAGCGTATGTGTATTGACTACCGTGCCTTAAACAAATCACAGTGAAGAACCGATACCCTCTTTCTAGAATAGATGATCTTTTAGATCAACTGAAACATGCCTATTACATCACAAAGTTGGATTTAAAATCGGGTTACCATCAAGTACGAATATGAAAAGAAGATTCTTGAAAGATTGTTTTTAAGACAAGATGAGGTTTATTTGAGTGGCTAGTCATGCCATTGGGACTCTGTAATGCTCCTGTTACATTTATGCGATTGATGAATGATGTGTTGCAACTTTTCATTAATCAGTTTGTCATTGTTTATCTTGATGACATTCTCATCTACAGCCGTATTTTGAATAAACACTTAGACCATTTGAGAAAGGTATTCAAATTCTTAAAAAAATATGAACTCGACCTTAACAAAAGAAGTGTGAGTTTGGGCATAGATCATTGTTATAACTTGGATTTGTTGTTGGTAATGGTAAATTTTAAATTGACTCAGGAAAAGTGAAGGCTATTAAAGAGTGGTCATGGCTAACAAATGTCATTGAAGTTCGAAGTTTTATGGGAGCTTGTCAGTATGCTATAAAATTTATTCAGAATTTCTCTATGATAGCCGCCTCGAATGCATTAAGATATAACACGTTTTCTTAAAACATGTGTGCTATGTAGCACTTCAAAGCCATCAAATAGAAATATTAGGCTTTACACACCATTACCGGTTTCGAAGAGACCATGGCAAAGTATCTCTATCGATTTCATGAGAGATCTACCAATTCCTAAACGAGGATATGACTTTCTATAAATAGTAATAGATAGATTTTCTTAGATTATAATTCTTATACCATGCAAAAAAAACCATTACAAGAGAAGAAACAACAAAAATTTTCTTCAAGATTATTTGGACACGTTTTGGGTTACCAAGCTCTATTATTTCAAATCGTGATAATCATTTTCTTGTAAGCTTCTAGAGATCATTGTGGTCTATGATGGATACAAAATTGAATAGAAGTACAATTTTTCATCCATAAACTAACGGTCAAACTGAAGTTCTCAATCAGATCATTCTACATCTTCTACGGGGGTATAATGTTTGACACCTTACGAGTTGGGATGAGAATTTACCATATATATAATTTGCCTTTAGCCGAGCTATTCATAGCCCTACTAATAAGTTATCATTTGAAGTTTGTCTTGCCTACTCACCACAAAATGCATTTGATATTGAGCTTACACTTGAGTCATCATCAAAGAAAGTGCAAGACAAGAATGGTCCTAAAAAGACTCAAAAGTTCTTAGAATGCATTCAACGAGTATATGGTGAAGTAAAAAAACAATTACAGTATGCTTAGCAAAAATATAAAGTTAGACATGATCGACATAGAGTAAAAGGTAAAT